TTGATCAATTAAATGAATATATAAACATTTATATAATATTAAGCTAGCTAGAAAGTCAACGTTTTGTTTGTCACAATTTTTTCAGCTTAAACAGAGCGTTGTCCAAAATCGGTTTTGGCCAAGACCAAGACTGCTAAAAAAAAAATTGTTTTGGAAATAAAAATTAAGGCAAAATAGTTACTAATACTTGACGATTTTATTTACAATAAGTTAAGAATTAGTATAACCAATATAGTTTTGTATTTAACTCTTTCAGATTTTCATTCGGTCTTGGTTAGGTTTCCTCTGTAAAAATTGCAGTAACATTTTTATGGTAATAAGCTAATAGGTAACTGCTAAGTCCGCAAGACCATGACGAGTCTTGGTCTCTCATTTGGACTACACTACTTAAAAACTGTCTTAAAATACAATTAAATATTGAATTTCCTGTATGAAATTTACAATATATCAACTTTTTTTTTTCTTTTGTAATGTAAGAAAGGAAATAATCCTTACTGTTTTTTTTTTTTAAATAAAGTAATAGCGTGAAAATAGAGATCAAAGAAGAATAAGCTACCCAATACTACACATAATTGTTTGAAGTAATTTAATAATGACATGAAACCTATTAAATTTCTAGAAACAGATAAAAAATGATGCATTAAAAGAGAAATCAGAAGCATAAGTATCAAAGATAGCGACCGAGATGTAAATGGGGGGATAACATTGCGTTCGACGAGGAAAAGACTGTTGCTGTTGCTCGGTACAGAAACTACTGTTTTGCCAAACTTTGTTTTTATTTTTGACATTTTGAAAGTTTAAATTAATTGATACAAGTTTACATATCTACATACATTTATAATACGAAACTTTTACTCCGCTAATAATATAGTGTAGAGATACGAAATCGATAAGTGGGCGTGATATTTCGATCATCAATGCCACACTGTATATTTTATTTGTTTCATCCATTTCCCTCAGGAAAGAACTTCCGTGAAGTAACAAAAGGCTCTTTGAACTTGTGAAGTAAATAAAACTTATATCTATTGCCGGGGGGAAAGAATTCCTTATTGAAGCCTTTTTCAAGCTGTAAGGAAGTAATAAAAGTCACGCTTTGGAATGGCCCTTTATGAAACTTCAGATATTAAGGATCCTTCCCGCATCATACACTTCAAAACTGTTCCAAAAATATGGCGGGTAGTTGCGGTGTGCTTTGAAAATATTATTCGTGGTATACTAGACCACTGTATAAAACCTATATTTAACAATAAATACATAATACGGTAATACAGTCGCGGTCATAGAAATTATTATGTTGATACTTTGATTCCATTGAATGTTTTTCTTTATTTATTTAGGTTAAAAAATAACTTAACGTTTCTCAGTTCAGTTTGAATTAATGCCAGGATAAAAGCTGCAATTATGACCAATTTTAAACAACTTCCAGAAAATATTAAAATTGTGACATTACATGAAGTGGAGGATTTTTTCATCCTTAAAAGTAATGAGGATACGGTAGCATGAATCAACGGTAGTCATAGTTTAAAAAAAAAATCTATCTCAGATCACCATACAGCGAAAGAAAAGAACTTGGGGGAAAAAAAAAACAACGAATAATTTGACCGCTTAATGACGCGATTGTTTTTAGAATAACGCTTCAAACCTAGCAAAGAAATGTCCAAACATCAATAATAATGCAGATATCAATCTGTTAAAAAATAAATAAAATTGTCACTGGGTAAAGCAATTTCTAGGACTATGATTACAGATCCCTTTTTCGTCTCTGAAGAGATTTGGTTCGGTTTCTGTCTGTCTTTCTATAGCAAAATCGGCATATCACAGACTACTGTTTATCCGATTTTCATGAAATTTTCAAGAATTATGCGGGTTGGTGTCTAGATGGTTAAATATCAATTTTATTAAATTCTAACCAGCACTTCCGCTTACGCATGTGCAAACGCATTTCTGTTGATATGTCAATATTTCAAAAACAGCTCTTTCGATTTGGCTTAAAGTTTGATAAAAAAGGTGGTATTTGTGAAAAAATTATGTAGGGTCAATTTCATTGAATTCTGTCCATTGCTTTCTCTTACATATAGAGAATTTAGGGAATGGTAAACGTAAAATGAAATAGGCATCAATTTTATCAAATTCTATCTAATATTCCAAATAAAAACACTTCTGCTTTCAGATTAGGGGAAATTTGTTATTTGGTATACCTATAGTTTGAAAACTACGCATTCGATTTGGCCCATACTTGGAGGAAATTTGGTGAACACTATAGAAATTGCTTAGTATAAATTTCATTTAATAACATTTAATAATTAAAATTAATATATATAATTATTAACATTATAATGGCTCTGAAAGAAATTATAAGGCACTAATCATATGGAGAGAAAGTTAGGTCATTACAATATTGTTATGTGGTTATAAAATTTTAGGTTTTTTTTTAGAAAAGCTGATTTATACTATATTTTTTAGTCGATTCCAAACGTTACTGGCATTTCAAACGTTTTGGAAGTTTAATCAGCTCGTTGTCTCAATTTCCTCCTTAAATATCAAAATTGTGTCCACTTCACTCATATTTTTATATTCCAGCTTAAATTAGTTTTGTTCTGACTGAAGAAAAGTATTGGTCTCGTTAACTCCGAACAAACAGAAAGTTGAATTTTTCGTATGAATTTTTTGTTCCATACATCATACGAGCGAAAACATACCTATTAAGTATATATCACTACTGTTAGTGAAAATGTCGTAGTAAAAGTTTTCAATTTTTATTTTACTTTTGAAATAATACAGGCTGGAATTGATATAAGTAGTCTACTACTTTGAAAAATAGCAGAGGGCAATAAAATATAAAACTATACTCATAAATCATTAAGAAATAATTAGTTCTCATAAAACACTCAATTTTAACATACGTTATTTGCATTAACAGTAGCGAGATACGTATTCAGTATGCACTGGATTTTTTTTTTATTACTTATTATCAAATATGCAATCTGCAAATGCGGAAATTTTTCGCAGTTTAGTATTTGCTGATAAACAAAGTGTTATGAAAATGAAATAAAAAAAATAAAAAAATAGTTTCAGCTTCATTTAAAATAACAGACCAGATGTTGGAATGCCCTTTTCCTCTTTTTTCCGGTAAAAACCCATCAAAGGCATTAATTTATATTCCCAATGGACGGTCCGTTTGCCCAACCAATATGTTTCTAAATATAGAGCACATATTTATTTCGGAACCGTTTGTATTTTTAGGAAGCTACAAAAAATAAAATAAATATAAAACTCCACTTTTAAAAAGTTCACTTTTATTTTATGAAATAAAATAAATCAAGGTACTATAAAATATATTCTTACAACATCAAGTCAAATTGAAATTTTAATAATTGTTTATTTGATATTATAATTTACCTTTATTGTAATTATTAATATCTTTTTTATCTATAGTATGTATATGTTGTATGATTGAATACCTTTGGCATAAATATTTCTTAGAACAAAATAAGGGCACCCATCAGTTCCGAGTGGATGGTGTACAAACCTCCTTCCGAGAAATTTTAAATCACAACAGTTCAGAAATTTTTTTTTAAAAAAAAACGTGGCTCAACGCAATTTAAAATACTCGTAATTTAAGACTGCCAGAAAACGCAACCTCAAAGCATTTAAATGAAAAAAAAACAAAAAAACTACGTGATAAAAGAAAAAAGAAAATAAACAAACAATTATACTTGCTGTCTGTTCCTTGAATTTTCAGAATGAATTGAAACCCGTCAAAATGTACCCTCCTCAAAAAAGTCATCTTGATTTTAAAAACAATCTGCATTTTGTTCTAATTTAATTCTCAAATAAAAATTAGTTTGTCATAAAAAAAAAAAATATTTGAACTTATAAATTAAATTAACATCAGATTTGGTTTTAAAATAGAACATAACAAAGAAAGGCACAAATAAAGATGTTTGGCCAAAATAAAAATAAAACTTATATAAAAAGTGATGAGGATTGGTTACACCAACCTTACTGCATCCTATGTATTTTTTTTTTCATCACCCCAAGTTTATTTTCCCACATGGTTCAAGATCTTGGAATTCTGTTTTTTCTGCTAGTTTGCATTTTAAGGAGGTTTAGATCTTCATTATCGATTCTGGTAATATTCTTGATTTCTTTATAATTATTAGGTGCTGAGGATCACCATTTTTTTTTTTTTCGCGTCGAACCTATAAACTAGTAATTAAAGCTAAAATTTAATTTTCAAATTAATTTTTCCACCGTTGAAAAGGTCCAGAAGGTTTAAGTTGATTAAATAAGGGATTTATTAGGTAATGATTTGTAAAAAATTTGAATGACATTCAGTAATGAGATACTTAACTTTCGGTATTTTAAATTGCTCGTGAAGTTTTGGAGCTTTTTCTTTTTTCATAGTCGTCCTTTTAACTACTTTTCTTAATATTACATTTTAATTAAAGCCTTTTTTTCTGTAGGTTTGTTAATGATTGAAAACAATGGTGTGGATTAACATAAAGTAGGACGTATTATAGTTTTGTAGAATTAGCCTTTTAGGTACATAGAAATGTGTGTGGAAGATAAAATATAATTTAGTCGGTATGATTTCTGTCCTGTAGTATTGATTTTTTTCATAAAAGCCTTAAATCTTAAATGTCTTTCAAAGGCAACTCCTAGATAAACATATGTAGAGTGTTTTAGTTTTGACTGTTTTAACTAGAGGAAAACAGCAAAAAGAATCTGTTTCTTGAATTCGTTTGAAACAGCCATCATTTACTTTATTTTTTTTGATTGACCGAAGGCTAGAAGTAAGACAGAGAGCGATAATGAAAAACCAAGCCCACATTAGTAAAAGGGAATTTTAAAACGCACTGAGAAGGCTCTAGATAACTGATCCCTGAATCCATTAACCTCCCGTTCCGAGAAAAACATCAGTCGCCCTGCTTAAAGTTTAAGCGATAAACGTCAAAGGCATCTCTCCTTCAAACGTTGGCTAGGCCTTTTGGAGTCTATTAAACAAACATCGCTTGAACGAAGGCGATCTTTACAGCCAATAGGAGGGCTGAGGAAGAAACTTTATGCGAGGCGAAACCCACCCTCGTTAGGCTCTGGTCATGCATACGAATCTGGTAATAACGTCCCATCGGAGGGCAACCTATCGTAAATATACTGTCGGGGTTCCTTACGGGCAACCGTTGAAGAAAATGAGCAACGAGCATACACTCATTAACATATCATCCATTCACATCTCTGCTGAAGTGTTTTGCACAGAGCATTTGAAAACCTGCTCAATGGTCTAGGTAAATACAAATGGGATCTTACATACTAGGCTGTCATGAACGGGTAATGCAAAGAAATAAATAAACAAAAAAAAAAAAAAACCGTGTGGGACGAAATACGTGAGAAAAATGCAAATTGTCAACATGCACGCTGCAGCTCCTTAAATATTCTAGTATTAAAATTCTACATAAGTTTTCAGCTACGGAAAAAAAGTTTTTTCTATTTTTTATTTTAATGAAATCTACAACTGTATTACATTAAAAACACAACAAGTAAATGTAACATCGGTAACATGACATGTAAAACATGACGAGAAACTACTCTTTGGTAGAACTCAAATTAAAGTTCTATATTAGAAGGTCCCGAGGTCATCTTCTTTTCAGACGCCTCGGAGGGTTATCAGGGATCGAGGAGGAGGCAAGGTTTGAAACGAGAGGGTTCGGATGGTTCTGGAGTTTGTTATGGAAGGATAGGTATCTGAATTGGGCCAAATCGGAAACATATGGAACATTAAGGTCTTTATGGATAATTTTATTTCTGACAAAGTAAGGAGCGTTGAGGATTTTACGAAGGATTTTGGATTGTAAGGATTGGATACGAGAGGAATTCGATGGTTTAGTGGAGCCCCAAAGCTCAATTCCATAAGTCCAAATAGGTCTTATTATTGTCATATACATAAATCGTTTGTAATTGATTGAAAGCTTAGAGCATTTGTCTAGAAAGTGTTGGAGAGTAGTCGGAAACGTCGAAAAAAAAATCTATGAAAGTTCAAATTTATTTTCAACTAGGTCTCTCCTACACGATGTATTTAAATTAAAAAGGTCAGCCAAATAAGGTTGGTATAGCTTTCTCATAGTTTTCATTGGCTGAACAATATCTATATTTCAATGGTAATAATTTTTCTTATGAGAATAAAATCTTCTATAAAATAAAATCCACAAATTGTGTTCATCAGAGAAAACTAAATTGTGCAAGAGTTCCATGTTTGCAAGTTGAAAATTTGATGATTAAAAAAAAAATTCCAATACATACTGAACAGATACATTGCTTAACAAGATTTTTTTTTTTTTTAATCACGAATCATCAAATACGCAATCAGCAAACAATACTTCCGCATTTTAGTAAGCGCTGATGAAAAAACTCTTGGATATGAAATCAGTGAATGATTATTATTATTATTGAAATATAATACATTTTGCCACACTTAAGGGCACTGAGTACTAAGGCTGAGTGAGGCACATTCATACCAAATATACAATACCATAAAAAAATAAATGAAAAAAAAATATACACATCTATATAACAAAGGAAAAAACTATAATAAACCAAGGAAATGTAACGTAGAGTTAAAATTAAATGAAATTCGTAGCAAAATTAAATAAATTATAAGTAATAGCAATAAATAGAAAAACATTCATATTTAAATACAATATTTACAATCAGGCAAGAGATCTCCGAGTCCAGCCCTTTCCCCCACGTGTGAAGGACAAAGCGAGACTCTAAGAGATCCCAGCGCTTCTCTCTCAACCGCGTCGCCGGCATTCAATAGCTTAATACAGTTTAACAAATGATTGCGGATGGCTTACCAAAAAAAAAAAAAAATTATTGCTCTCCTCTTCTTAAAAACAGAACAAGAGAAAGTAAAATAAGAAAAATCGTAGTTCGTATACTGTCATATAATTAATTGTCTTTCCGTATAGTCCGTTTTACTTTATACTCCTAGTTCTATGGTTGAAAGTTATTCCTAATTCAAAACCACACAAATATAGATTCTTCCAAAACTTCATGATACATTCATGAAATCTCGTTAAAATGTATCCCACTAAAATTTTCAAAACATTGTATAAGTGTGGTCCCTCATTAGTTCAAATGACGCAGTTTGCGTTATACCTCCCTTCCGGACACCCCAGTTTCAACAGAACTTTCCAAATCGGATTAGTATATAATTCCTGAAATTACTGCCTTTGAAATACATTTTCTGTGCTATATAAAATAGTAAACATTTAAATTGAAAACATGTATTATTATTATATTGTAGTATTATATATTATTATGTATACGTGAATTATATTCTTGTTTATTATTAGGGAGGAAGCATTTCCGTGTTTAGGTCGTTCCATAGTTACTTTTTATAATCAAAAACATACATAATAATTTCGAGGATAATCTAAAATGCACATGCAACCAGTTGAGTATAAATGGATGTATAATTACGCATAATGGAATGGTCGATATTGAAGTGGAGGTTTCACATTTCCACGGATTTATTGTGTTTAACAAACATTTCTCTATGAAAGTATACTAACGTTAAAGAGAGAAAAAAAATCAGAAGTTTCTAAGTTTTTGTATAGAGCGGTCTCTAGATAATTTTATTCCTACGCTTCTTGAATAATATAAATGAAGATATTTTCAGTTCATAAATTTGATAAAAATATGTATTAAGGAAAAACATTGTTGGTGTCGTTTTTGTATTGTAATTTTGTATATTGTAATTACATACAATTGTTCTTATACAGATTTTTATATAGCCTAAAACTGGCGTAAAAAATACAGAAACATTTTTAAAACAAATGCCTGATTATCGTAATATAAAGATAATGCTGTGTTTCAGAATTATATATCCAAACAAATTACAAACTAAATTAATAATATTCAAAACTAAAACTTAGACAGAAATTGAACACGTACAATTACTTACTAAAACCTATTTGGACTTACGCAACACAGATATTTGGAACTGCTAAAAAGACTCACTTAAACAAACTTCAAATCTTTCAAGCAAAAACATTCAGAACAATTACAAAAGCACCTTGGTACGTTAGCAACATAACTTTACATACTGATCTCCATATGCCGACTGTTAACGAACACATACGAACTCATTACAAACGATTCCATGACAACTTACAAGGACATCCTAATACACTTATAGATGACATGGCCACTACGAATATGCCAGGTAACGTCTGTAGGAGACTGAAGAGGAGCTGGATGAGGGACCTCCTCGCCTAATGTAGATATCACGCCGAGTGAGGTGCCGCTGGGCACTGATCCTCCTCATGCCTTTCATGACATTATATTTTGCAATCGACCTCACATTCACTGGTTGTCATTACCATTATGACAGGTGTGAATAAAAAATTAAAGCTAAAAAAAAGAATTAATAATACCTACCATTTGGAACAGTCAGTCAAAAAGAGTGTCGAGTGTATCACGGTCAGAAAGGCTCCTGGAGTTAAAAGTTAAAAAAATAAAAACTAATGGATCTTGTGACTCGGAAGTGGTTTCAACTAAAAATAGAGTTAGCAGTCGGCACTAACGGATCCAGGATTTAATTTTGGGGAGCTTCAACCCAAAAGATTTTTTTTTTATAGATATACGACGATAATTATTTCGGAAGAAAGCAAGAAACTAAGTACCTATATGAAATGATGTTTAAGTAATTCTATTTAATGTAATTAGATGAACAATATTTTATTTTTTATTTATTTTATTTTTTTTTTATAAAACATGGTTATATTTGATCATTTTGGGGAGGTTTCAGTACGAAAGTCCCCTTTCTTCTCCCTTCCTCCCATTTGTAGATCCGCATGTTTTAGTCTATTTACTGCTGAGGAGCGTTTCTATATCTAAACGTTCAGAATTCTATGGGCGAACATTTCGGAGGTGTGGAAGTCCCTGGTTCCTAACTTTTTGGGTTCGATTACCACCTGGTTTGATTTATATTTATTTCTTGGAGTCCACAAGAAATGAATCTTGACCGATCCAAGTCTATAAGCGGAGACAACCACGAGGTAGCAGTAAGGGGTAGTCAAAAAGGACCATAAAGTCCCCTAACCAGTCTAGTTTCTACCAGTATAACTCAACATTTATTATTAATGTGGCTACGAATTTTGAAAATGTCGCCAGGACAAAAATAAAACACACAAAAACGGTATAATTTTTTTTTTTAAAATACATTTTGTCTCAATCAAAGGCATTGATTATTTGAGATACAAGAAACTCATTCATACAATATATACAATTACAAAAATAATAGAAATTATAACAAAAATAAGAAAAAGAAAGCTTTGTGAAAAAGATGAAATAAAATATGATACAACACAAATAAAAAAAAAAAAAGGAATAAATAAGAGAAAAAAAAACATCCATGCTTATTTACAATATTTTCAGTCAGCCACGTGTGAAAGATAAGACAAAACTCTAAGAGATCTCAGTGATTCTCTCTCAGCCGTATCACTGAGATAGGGATTCAGTCGGTACACTATAATCACTAAAATGAAAGAAAGAATTTCGCTTTCGAAATTATATTATTAAGTAACTACCCCATACCAACTTGAAAATTAATCAAACCAAGCCGAAACTTTATCGCACCAACTGTTAAATTATTAAAGTATTTTCATTTAATGTTCTCAGATTCATTAGAAGATGTCAAAGATCTTTCCATTATAAATGGATTTTAACTAGAAACCAAATCTTGGCAATCCTTGACGCCAAAACATAGGCATCAATAATGTTTCTGATGATACATAAATAAGGGGATTGGAATGATAATGTTGTAAATTAAGTTTGTTTTTGGTCATAAATTAAAAGTTTTTTAAATGTATAATATACATATATAATTCTGTCTATCTTTACTATTTATGGAGTCATAATTACATTTTTAAACAATTAATTTTTAAACACCATGAAATTAAAATTTTCCAAAATAAACACAAATTAATAAATAACTGTTCCATTTAACTCCGTGTCGACTAACCAAGTACTCACAGTAAGTCCAGGCGGAATATTCAGATGATTTAATATTATGGATAGACACTACTGCAACAAGTTTGAGACAAATGTTTTTCTTTTAAACAATAGCGTTTACTTTCTCGAAAGATCCGTGAAAATCGGTAATGTTACCAAACCGTGCCGGAGGGTGAACATCCTTGTTTGGAAACGTGATATTTAGTTTGCGGAGGTTTTCTAAAAGAAGCAAAAAAATCAAGCTTACTCATCGAGAATGATTAGACACCGAATCATAAGTTGTTCCTTAGCCGACGAAGCAGAAAGTGGACTGTAGCTTGGAATCCAAGAAGGCGAGAGAGGATGGATAGACTGCCAGGAAGTAGGGTCTGCTCGGAGTCGGCCGCATAACTCTTCGACGGCATCACGCGAAGGGATCATTTGTACTTCCACCTCCGCGAAGGTTCAACGATCAAGCTCAATGCACTTCTACCAAAAAGGTCAAAGTATATTGCAAGTATATTCTTAAACGACAATCAGTTATTTGTTTCATTTATTCCTTAATTAACTTAAAATATTGAGTAAAGTAAATTCCGTATTCACTAGCTAAGTGATAAAGGAAAATCGATAAATATAATTTAAAATAAGAAAAAAAAATACTAATAAATAAATAGGTATTAATGGTCTCACATAATAACCACTATTGATTTATTATTGTGGTATTGATTTATTAGTTGTATTTTTTTTATTTGAAGGAAAACTTCTTATCCGATAGCTCTATGGTTTAAAATTGGTGGCAATTATCCAAATAAGTGTATAGTTTTGGCATAAAGAGTTATCATTCGTATGCTTCAAGGTGACGGCACAAATGAGAAACTATACACCATCGGTTTATTCCAATAAGTCACTATGTTTGATGGAGCTTCGATCTTACCTATGAATTAAAAAAAAAACATAGTAAATGCACATCCCAGATGTCAAAAGTGTGACCAGTCATTAACTATAAAACATGTTTTGGAAGAGTGCCCTTTGTACACCGCAAGGTAACAAGATCTCGGAATACCCCAGAATATATCAGCATCCCTGAAAAATCAAGAAGAAATCGTTACCAAAGTTATCAAGTTCCTAGACAAAGAAAGACTTTAAAAACGTATATGACAAGTTTACAACTAATAATCCTTTGCAGATGTATTATTTATTTTTTTTAATTTTAAAAGTACATTTATTTATTAATATCAATTCATTTAATGATTTTATTGCTATTTTTTTAAATTTTATTAATTCATCTATTCTATCTTATTAACTATAAGTGTCCATTATTATCTTTATTTATTTATTTCATTCTATAATTTTTTTTTATCCTTTTTTTTTAATTTATTTTTTTGTACCAACTATCTAAACAGTATAAAAATAGTGTTATTTAGTTGATCGGACGCTGATGACCTGGATGTTTTGCGCCTATATATCGAAAGAACAACATTAAGCCTTTTATATGTCAAACATTGTTACAACAAGCGCACCATTTCTGATTTTAGAAAGGAAAAATTAATCAAAATTTTAATTGCTGTAAGATTGTGAAATGTTACTTAATGACTTTTTACAATAAACCCAAGATATGTTCTAATATCTGTCGCTCTGCTATCGTAAAATTCCACGTCATTAATGGAATTTTCAGAAAAATTCAAATTGGAAACTTGATCATAAATTGCTTTAAGATTATGAAATGTTATTTAATGATTTGTTTATAATAAACCCACGATATGTCCTAATATATGTTGCTCTGCTATCGTGAAATTCCACGTTATAAATGGAATTTTGATAGAAGTTAATAGTTGTTCCGAATGTTTATGTTTCAGCAACGAAAATCAATAATTTGTATTTATATATTTTTATTTTCTTCCGGTTTTGCTTTTTCTTTTCTTGTTTTTTTTTTTCCTTCATTTCAATTATATATTTTTGAAGGTAATATTTTATTTTTGGTTGTTGATATATTGTTTTTGAAGACACCGTATATATTTTTTGAATTTTCGTTAGTGTATTTTTGGACCAGATACGGTTTTTGTTTGTTTGTGAATACTTGCCTGCATAAGAGACCTCGGGCCAGAATAAAGTTCATTTCCTGTCTGTCTATCAATTTTGCTTTATGTAGATTAGTTTGCGGGGAAAATCAACATACTTATACCACAGTAAGCACTAGAAAATCGTTAATGCTAAAGTAATAAAAGTTTTCTTTAAATAGTTTAAAACATGAGTTGTACATAAATAATTTTATTGGTAGATAGTTGATGCTTTCTGTCAACGCACTTTTAGTATTTGAAATTAAAGATTATTTTTTATCCCACTCATTCGTGTTGAACGAATCCGATACCTGGGACTCCACCTGGACAAACTTTGAACCAGAATTCTTCTTACCTAAGAATTACGGGCCCTCAACGCTCCTAACTTTCTTACAAATAAAATCATCCATAATGATTCTAATTTGGCACAATCCAGATACCTATCCTTCCACAATAAACTTCAGAACCATCCTCGTTTCTAATCTTGCTTCCTGTAATCATTTCTCGAGGCGTCTAAAAAGAGGATGGTTTCGTGATCTCGCTAATTTAGAAACTTTTTAAAAATTTAAATACTTTTTTTCCTCCCTTACCTCGCCTTTTTAGGCATACGGGGGATTTCTCTAGTCAGGGGATGAGGTCGAGGAATTAAAAAGACCCCTATCCATCGGGACGCGAACTTGTAATTTTATTGTCTCTAACTTTGGTGTTCGGGTTGCCAGGCAACGCGCGGTGCTCTGCACACACGTTAGCGCATTCGGCAAACCCATCCCCAAGCCTTTTCATATTATTCTTACTGGATGTATATTTATTTTTATATAGTTGTAAATTTCATGAATAATACTATTTTAAAAAATTTGAAAAATTTTTCCTTTTATTTTTGAACATAAATTTTGAATGTTATTCATTTAATTCGACACTCTTATTCATAATGTATATGAAAGATGCCTTCATAATCGAAATGAAACGCCAGTGATATTTGTGCCACAGTTTGTTTAAATAAATTAACAAGCCGTAAATACTTAGCCAATAAGGAGTAATTTTTCATATACATTTTTTTTTAATTACTCATTTACAATGACTGAAAACTAGATTTTTTTCTGCTCTTAAGTACCCAATTAAAAACTAGAAAAATAGCCTAGAAAGTTCAAAAGACGATTACGATATTACGTTCCGACAAACAGCCCCACAAAACCCTTAATTTGATGAAATTGTCGGTTGTAGGATTGAAAAATGACTCAATTACCCTTTGAAATATTGAATCCACGAGCTATTTTTCATGAAAATAAGTTCCTCTAATGAAGTCGTCGATAGAGGCAACTAGCAAGTTTTTTAACTCCTTTTTTTATTCAAGAGTTATGGCACCAATTGAGTAAAAAAAAAAAAAAAATTACACAGGCAACCCACACTATTGGAGAGCTAAGTACAAAGATGACTTTCTAAAGATATGACTCAATCACGGGGTAGAACTATCTAATGCGGCTATTTTATCCATAAATATGGTTAATATAGGTCTTCAACACACGGACTCTAATGGATGTAGAGATTTACGTTGGTCTTGTATTCTATGAATTATTTATGGTTGCTTCAACAGAGGCTTTATGCACGATGTTCGGTGAACGGTCAGATAATATAGACCTCTAAGTATAATATAGACTATAATATATGAAGGTATGGAAAAGCGAATGGAATTGAGCATATAAAGGGTCTCAAATAAAAACCTCATGACGGGCTTTGTTGATTTATTTATATTTTTCACAGTGAACTAATATTTCTCACTTAATAGCATTACTGTTTTTTTTTTTCTTATCAACTTGTGTCGAACTATGAACAGGCTCTAACAGAAAAAAAAAATCCCCATTTTTAAAACGTATATAGGGTTTCAAAAAAAAAAAAATCTTGTCTGTACATTGAACAGAATCAACGCGTTTCATGATATCTTTCCGTTCCATACATTACAGACACCAAATCCACTTTTAATTTTTTTTTTTATCTGTCTGTATGTCCGCATTGTCCAACGAAATTTTGTCAGGGGTAAGTTCAGCAATGGCTAATGGAAAACTTTTGAAATTTTGACATTATATTAATCATTACTTGACTTAAAACATAGGCTTTAAATGAAAAAAAAATATTGAGTACAACCAAGGTTATGAATTATGAATTGAGCAATTTGTCTAGCGATCCAGGTTAGGCAGTTACTTACTTCGATTCTCATCCCAACATATTCTACCGCGAACCCTATTTAAAAGTTGTTCTATTCAAATGATAGAAAAAATTATCACAACTCAACGGGAAAAATCCGAAATACCATCCGAACATCAGTCGCTTAAAACATCATTTATCAACATCGTCCGATCTTCCCGTTCAAGGTGTCATTCGATTCAACTTCCCGAACCTAATAAATGTTGTCGTAAACATTTTTAGGATTAACCAAACGGATTAGCCGGAAATCGGGAAAAAAGACTCCCAAAAATTTCAACCTGCCCGCCACAATATTCAGATCAAGTTCTAATTTTACACAGATGTAGGTGACCCAATGTCCGACGTTATTCTGCCAGCGATAAATTCAGCAGAGTTTAAAGAAGTGGAGAGACTACAGCTCTTTTTCATTATTTCAATTGACTCCACGATCTCCTCGCTTCATCATAAATAAATATTAAACACTTAAACAATTTTAATGGATCGGTGGTGGTCGGTTATTGGTGTGGCACTTAAACAAATAGCCGAATAACTTAGCTTTTATTATGACTATTGCGAAACCTTGACTTTCATAAGCCCCGCCATAAAACAATTCAAAACAACCTCCTCCCACCCAGTTTTATGAAATTAAACTTGGACCCTCCCCCTTAATACCAAATCTATCTCAAAAAAATATTAACCATACACCCATCAACGGCGGGCACATCAGCTAGTAATATCTAAAGTAATCTATTTTATCCAAAACTTACTTTATTTAAAGTTGATTCAGAAAAAATTAGCAGATAACTGTCTTTAATTGACAAGATGTTTAAATTAAAAATAACTCCACAGGAATTTTCAATTTAGAACATTCGTGAATTTCTCGCTATGTTCATTTTTTAATATTTCTTATAGCAACGAGAATGCAAAGCTGTATAATCGTTTGATTAAAAAAAAACTTTATATCTACACAATTTTTTTAAGAAAGATAATTCTTGATTATGTTTGATAATTGATTAACCAGAAAATGTATAACTCTTAATCTAGATAAAACTTTGATATGATAAAATGATTGTCAACAGGCTATCTTTGTATATAACGTATAAAAAAAACTAACTAATAATTTATATAATAATCCGTTTTGTCTAATGCTTAGTTTATATATGTGTGAAAAGTCAAGAAAAAAATCATTTATATGTTTTTGTAAAA